TAAAGATTACAGTGTGTATCAGGAGTTTTAGTAAAGATTACAGTGTGTATCAGGAGTTTTAGTAAAGATTACAGTGTGTATCAGGAGATGTTCTTTTCTCAGGACACCACACAATATGAGGAGTGGAAGTCTTATAGTTACCCTACTTTACTTGAGGTTCTACAGCTCTTCCCATCAGTCGTTCCGTCTCCAGAGTTTCTTCTGACTCAACTTCCTTCACTACAGCCACGCTTCTACAGTATCAGTTCTTCTCCAGAATATAACCCTGGTGAAATCCACATTACAGTTGCTGTAATCAAGTATCGAACACAGTGTTAGTACTTGTTTGTCTGTTACATATATATGTATAAATATACATATTATTCTAAGAATTTATGAATTTCATGAGCCAGAACTAGCGGGGTCCCACTCAGCTCGCCGAGGAGATAAGCCCAAGACTAAAACGGTTAGGTTAATAATTACCTAAACATTTTAATTTAAGATTTATATATATATATATATATATTATTTTTAAGTAGAGAAGGGATCGAACTCGGTGTTCTGTTTGAGAGAATAAATGTGTTTTCTTTCTTATGGTTTCACTAAGGCGGGACCGGTTCCTGGCACTACGGAGTTTGCTCCACGTACCTAGCTGCTCTATCAGAAGGTGAAGAAATAGTTTGCTTCATCAGAAGGTACGATAATTTTACCCCCCCCCCCCCAATGACACAGCGGTATGTCCGCGGACTTACAACTTGTGTAGCTTTGTGCTTAACTACAAACAAATTACAAAATTTCCAGAATATTTTCTTCTTTAGAAATAAGATTAAAAGATGCTAACTGTAAATTAATAATTATTTTGATATTTCCTTGTTATTTGCATCTTCCTAAATAATCATTACAACTATTTAATTTGAAGCCATTTTTGTAATGTAGTTTCGCTTGGATTTAGATAGTACTTTTTTATGTGTTTCCTTTTTTCTTCTCTTCTACTCGATGTTAGCAAGTTTTTGTTTACAAAAACTCAAACTGTATTGAAATACTTGCAGTTAATGGCCAGATTATGAAATATATGTCTTTGTTTAATTAAAACAGCGCGCCAAACTTTCATTTACCAGACGATAAACGACTACCGATTGTTATGGTTGGACCGGGGACAGGTATCGCCCCCTTTCGAAGTTTTTGGCAACAACGCTTATTTGAAGTACAGAAAATGGCTCCCGATGGCGAGTTTTAATTTGAATTGGTTTGAGTAAAATAACTTATTTATGTTATTATTGTTTATGCATGAATAAATACAACAGATTTTGTTTATTATTAAATAAGAAATAAAACATCAAGTGACATTCTATTGCTGAAACCTGTTGGTCGTTTATTTGGTTAGATTTATATAAAATGGTAAAAAATTGAAACTTGCTATTTTTATAACTTAAAATTATTTGTTTGGAAAAAGAAGGAAAAAAAAACGTGCCTAAATGACGTATTTCAACACGTATTCTTTAAAATTTATTAATTGCTTAAATTATATTCGTAATTTATTACTTTTTTTGTAGATCTTAAGAAAACTGGAAAAATGACTTTGTTCTTCGGTTGTCGCCACCAGGATTTTGAACTTTTTCGTCAAGAAAAAGAAGAGATGCTAAAAGAGTGTGTTTTAACTGCAGTTTATACGGTTTTCTCACGCCTTCCACAAAAACCAAAAGTATGTACGAACATTTTCTTTCTCATAACCCACGAAATATCGAGAATATGTTTCAAAGAGTTTTTTTTTTTGGACATAAGTCAAAAGTGTCTTTCAAAAACTAACCCTAACTACAGAAGTAATCAACCAGTATATCTTACGAAGATTTATAAATATAGTTTGTTATTTCAGGACTCACTTATCTCCGTATCTTTGTTAAAATTCTTTAATCTCCTTTGTTTGTTTCGATTTGTTGTTCCTAACGTGCCTAAGGATTTCTGGTATGAACATTCCACGTGCCAACCCAACGTGCATGTCACAGTTTTACCTAAACCTAGTTTAGGAAATGTATATTATACGTTTGATCGTATGAATGGAAATTACCCGACCAAGTGAAATGTACAAAACCCAGAGTTACTGTAAGATCGATGTACAAAACCCAGAGTTACTGTAAGATC